AAAGTGCTGGGATTACAGGCTTGAGCCACCACGTCCGGCCTTGAATTCTTTTTGATATACAATTAGGATCAGTTGTTTCTGTTTTATTCAGTTTGAAGGTTTGCTTTTTCATCTTTTTGAAGTCTTACTCCCATTTCTATCCCATCTACCCCATTCCCATCCATCCCCTATAGGATGAGAGTGAGACTTCTAATGTAGGTTTGACTTCAGAACCTTGTAAATTTTTTACATAAAATTAAATTTAAAAGGATGGTTAGTAAAAATAATGCCTCACTCTATCCTTATTAATCTTATTTGCTTTGTGTCTAATATTAATGTTTCCACATCACTTTTCTTTTGTGTTGTTTCCATTCTCCTGTTTGACTTTTTCTATCCTTTTAACTTCAACCTGTGTATGATTGTGTTTTAAGTGACATCTTTTGTATCTAAGTTGAGAACCTGAGTTTTGTCTGATGAATTTCAATTGTTTTCTGCTACCTTTTTTTGGTGGGGGAAAGGGGATGAACTTTTGCTTTGTCACCCAGGCTGAAGTACAGTGGCACAAACACTGCTCACTGCAGCCTCGGCCTCCTGGGCTCAAGTGATCCTCCTGTCTCAGCCTCCTGAGTAGCTGAGACTACAGGTGTACACCACCACACCTGGATAATTTAAAAATTTTTTTTGTAGAGACAGGGTCTTACTGGGTTGCCTAGGCTGGTCTCAAACTCCTGGACTCAAGTGATCCTCGTGGCCTTGGTCCTCCCAAAGTGTTGGGACAGAGGCATGAGCCACTGCACCCAGCTCTTTTTAGCCGTATATTAACCACTTAACCACAAAGTAAAGCCATGTGTTAACCACTTAAAAGCATCCTTTTTCTTGGCTGCTTCTTCCCTCCCCCACTTCCCCCTTCTATTGGATTGACTTTTTTTCTTTCTAATTATTTGGAAGTAAAGCATCCTGTATCTTTTCTTTTAATGGTTATCCTTGTCCTGCTGTTACTTTGTGTTGAGTATAAAGTCAGAGAAACCCATACCACTTTTTCACATGAACTACCAAAACAGGTTTGTTGAACGCTATACTTTCAAATTTTATTATTTTTTTAACTGAAGCAAAGGACTGTGTGTTTATTTTTAAATAAATATTAACATTTTTATAATTAGTCTGAGAAGTAAGGGCCTTAGTCATGCTGTATGAAGAAAGATTGACCAAAAACTAGACCTAAAACCACCTTTTCTCTATAGTCTTCCAGACTTCTCCCCCTCCCTGCCTTCACTAGAATCTACGTGCTGTTGAGGACAGAAATATTTTGCTTATTGCTGTATCCATTTTTCTTAGAAAAGTGTATATTCACTGGCCCTCAATAGATATATTAGTTGAATGAATCAAGTAGAAATATTTAGAGAAAAACGAATGGAGTGGTGTAGGATAGAGGGCAGGAGACCTTATGGAAACTTTGACTTGAAGGATTTGCGTGTCAAACAATAATTATGCTTGTTTTGTATTGTTCTCAGTCATTTTAGAAGAGTTTTTTTGGTAGATGTGATATAGTAAGCGTTAACAGATCAGATAAATGGTCATTGATTGCTCTGAGATTCTGTGCAAAGTAGATGGAAAGTTGTCATTCTTAATTTACAGCTAGATTTAGGTACACAGATGAGTTTTTTACTTTATCTGTGTACCTAATCTGATAATCTTAATATATGGTAATATTTTGTGTACCTGTAGAATGACTAGTGTTTTCTGGGAAGGCATGAATATATACATTTATTAAAGATAAATTTTAACTAAACAAAGGAATACAGTTAAAAGTAGTTAACATTAAATCCTGAATGTAGCCATATACTAACTACTAAAAATACAATCCACATGGTATTACTGTTCTCTTTGAAAACTTTTGCTTTATAACATTTCAGATGTTCAGAGTATGCTAAGCCCTGTGTATTAAATACAGAGGAGTCATTTTCTGGTTATACTTAAAAAATGACAAACCAGATATCTAAAGGCAAGTATTGCATTTCAGTTTCCTGAAGGTGTTTAGTAAGTGTTTAGGAACAGATGTGTTGTTTTTTTAAAAAAACACATATTTCTTTCTCTGCATTCATTCCCTTTTCAAAACTTCTCCCCGTCCTCCCACTTACCCTTTTCCCCTTCTTGCATGTTTCTGCACATATGCACGGACACATACACTGATTAGAAAATGAGACTCTTGGCAGAAAAGAGATGAGACTGGAGCATTTGCTATTTTACAGAATCACCATTAGCAGATTTCCAGAATCACATGTCAGTGATAGATCAGACAGTAGGTCTATGAATTTGCAGATAGTATTGCCTTGCCTAATGAGATATAAGACTTGGACTTAGTATAGATCTCATACTCCCTTTCTGCACAAGTTTTTTTTTTTTTCTTCTGGCAGCTGTGTTTATTATATGTAATGAATCATTTTAAAAATCTGCCTCAAAGCTAAGTCCGTTAACTCCTTTTCTCTCAATAAATGTTGTTAATTGTTAAATGAAATTTGGTTTAGCAGTTTTGTAATCCCAGATTCAACTTCCTGGCCAGATGCGGAGCTCATGCCTGTAGTCGCAGCACTTGGGGAGGCCGAGGCTAGTGGATCACTTGAGGTCAGGAGTTCAAGACCAGCCTAGCAAACATGGCAAGACTCTGTCTCTACTAAAAACACAAAAATTAGCTGGGCATGGTGGCGCACACCTGTCATTACAGCTACTTGGGGGGTTGAGGTGGGAGAATCGCTTGAACCCGGGAGACGGAGGTTACAGTGAGCCAGGATTGTGCCACTGCAGTCCAGCCTGGGCAACAAAGTAAGACTCTCTCCAAAAAACAAACAGAACAACAACAATAACAAATAACTTCCAGAGTTAGTAGGATTTCATTGTCATTCAGTTAATTCCTTGCATTACTTCACTTTCTGAACTGTTTTCCTTCAACCAGCTCAAACACCTGGAAGAATAGACAAGAACATTTGAGGCCTCTGAGGGACCTTCCTGGCTCTATGGACTAAAATCACCTGTGGAAAAGAGCTTTCTATAGTGGTAGGAAAAGAAGCTTGCTCTGAGGCAATGTCTCATTTCTTTATTGTTACTGTGACACAAAGTTTTTGTCCTAAAAGTACTGTGGCTTAGAAGGCCAAATAGGGCATAAATATGAGTTTTCTTGAACTTTCCTTTCTGGGAGTAAGTATGTATCTTATGTGTCAGCCATTGAAGTATATAAACTTTTCAAGGTCAGTCTCTTAAAATTTTCTCTGAGTTAAAGTACTTTAAAAGGAAGATCTGTACTTGTCTGGAAGGTTGTGCTCCTTATACAGTATAACTTTTATGAATGTCCATTGACCTGGAATCCTCACATTGGATGGGAAAAAGTCAGTGATTCAGACTCACATGTTGTTAATCTACTTCACGGAAGCCAGGCTATGATGGGAATTTCTCAGCATCTTCCTGTTGATCAAAACTAAAGTGCTATTTCTTCTCCTTTTTCTTCCTACTAAGTGTGCTTAATTTTTAGTAGGTTTACATTTCCAGGTTCAACTTCCAGAATTGGCAGTATTTCTTTTAGCTGCTTCTATCTAGGATTGGTTTTATGTAACACATTCTGTTAATGAATACCTAGCAAATAATGGATCTATTACTATGTACCTTCAGTATTTGTACAGTACAATAATAAGCTGGATGTGATACAGAAGTAATATCAGATAACCCTAATCTGTAGTTCAATTGACAGGATGAGATTAGAACATATTTAAGGAATATTGATGATCAGCAAGGATCCTCACTGCTACTTGGAGATAGGCGCTGTTTTAATCAATTTTATTGTTTTCATGTGTGCTTGTTAGATTCCAGCTAGGTCCTTGAAAGATGTGACCTTTGACTAATTTCAAGGAAGAGAGATGATTTACTGAGTGGTTAAGCAAAAAGATTGTTGTTAAGGACAATTAAAACAACAAATATGGGTAAAGAGAGAAGAATAGAGGTAACAAAAATAAGAGTAGTGCTTTTCAGATTGCAGTGGGAGAGGAACATTAGGTCAGAGACCTTCTGTTAGCATGAGACTTTTGTCTGTAGACACAAGAACATGAAGGAGCCTATGTTCATTTCTGAGCTTGCAAGCAAAATTTTTAGAAAGTGCTTCTTTATCTTTATTAATAGAAAGGATACCAGGACTTGCAGTTACAGTGGTGGAGGCAGGGGTCCTGTGCAGCATAGCATTCTCCTTCGTAGTTGTGAGAAATCGAAGAAGTGGTCACCACACCCTGACCCTCGTTGGTTCAACAAACTTCTGTTTCTGGGTTGCTGGTGCTCACTTTTGACTTCTGAGCATCCATCTTAGAGCTTCTCTTCTCCTTTTCTGTTTCTCCTGTGACCTATTTCTTTCTATTTGGAAACATTATTGAGGAGAGGTCACAACTGCAGGGATTTTGATCTAGGCAAGTGTTCTTTTTCCAAAGTTGGCTCTTCAATCTTTTGATGAGGGACAAGAGTATGAGAACTTCTGGGAAACTGAAAGAAATAAAATCTAGTCAGCCATAGAAATGAACAAATGAGAGAAAGTGCCAGGGGACTGGGATATTACTTTTACTTGTACTTTAACACTACCATTAAAGTGATCAGTAATAGCACAACACTCTGTGTAGCCGTTCACAGCAATCACTCACTCTTTGTGCCTCCATAGTAGCCCAGATGGCCTAGCTTTTTCACGTTGCTGTTTGGGCAAACTAGGAAGGGTATAAATAGGTAGACCAGTTGTATGACTTGCATATTTGTCCGTTCTATAGCTAAGCAAACAGTGAAAGGCATCCTGCATACTTTTTTTTCTGAACAGAAGTTTCTGGGCTTTTTTTTTTTTTCCATTTTATTACATAATTATCTTAGACAGTTTGACTTAGAAATTTAGTGAGAATGATCCACAAATTGGAACAAGACAAATTTAGTAGCATTAGTACTTGAAAATCTAAATTAGTGCCTTGACAACTGCCTTTAATAAAATTCTCTTTTCTTTCTCTTAGGGCTGCTGCTCAGAGCAAGTTAGGTCACTATACAGATGCAGTAAAGGATTGTGAAAAAGCAATAGCAATTGATTCAAAGTACAGCAAGGCCTATGGGAGAATGGGGTAAGTTCTGGGAGAATGTTCAAAGTAGTACCGTGTGATATCAGGTATGCTGTTCTTAATGGCTTGGTTTTGAATTTCCTGCTTAATATTGTACCCTCTGAAGTAATAAGAAGATAAATAAAACATAAGGGAGGAAATGACTGTAATTGGTGACTTGGGAGTGAGATGATTGATGACTGATTTGATTGTTGGAGAAAATTATGTAACCATACTTAGTTGACTAATTTCATGTCTGTGACCACAAATCTCAGATGAGCACTTGATATTGGCAGACTATCATATTTCCGTCTATAGTCACCTTTCCACTCTGATTATTTCATACTTCCTCCTCTCCCTTCTAATTTCCACTATCCCCTCTAGGGTGATTCTTAACAGATGGTATTGCCTTACTTACACTTACTTGATAAGATAGATGCTTTTTGAAGAAAAACAACTCATCTTCCTCCTTGCAAATCCATCAGTCTACCCATACTTGTATGTACACAGAATGCCCTTTTTTCCTGTTAAAATGGAATCATTCTAGCTGGTCATGGTGGCTCATGCCTGTAATCCCAGCACTTTGGGAGGCAACAAGGCATGCAGATTACTTGAGGTCAGGCGTTCAAGACCAGTCTGGCCAATATGATGAAACTCCATCTCTACTAAAAATACAAAAATTAGCTAGACGTGGTAGCACGTACCTGCAGTCCCAGCTACTCAGGAGGCTGAGGCAGGAGAATCGTTTGAACCTGGGAGGCGGAGGTTGCAGTGAGCTGAGATAGAGCCAGCTGCACTCCAGTCTGGGCGACAGAGCTAGACTCTATCTCAAGGGAAAAAAAAAAGGCAGTATTCTTTTTTGTTCTGTTTTGTTTTTTTGTTTTTGAGATGGAGTCTTGCTCTGTCACCCAGGCTAGAGTGCAATGGCCCGATCTCGGCTCACTGCAACCTCCACCTCTGAGGTTTAAGAGATTCTGCTGCCTCAACTTTGCAAGTAGTTGGGATTATAGTGGCCCACCACCACACCTGGCTAATTCTTATACTTTTAGTAGAGACAGGGTTTTGCATGTTGGCCATGCTGGTGTCAATCTCCTGACCTGAGGTGATCCACCAGCCTTGGCCTCCCAAAGTGCTGGGATTACAGGTGTGAGCCTCCGCGCCCAGCTGGAAGCATTCTTATCTAAGACCATTGCCTCCACTCGTGCTTTAAGATCTCATCCTCTTCTACCTTCTACACAACGTTACAACAATTACTATCCCCTTCATGTTCTACAACATTAGTTCTTCCATCTCTAATAGATGATAGTGGCTGGCATGTGATAAGGTCATAAAAAAATCATTCACCAGGCCAGGTGCAGTGGCTGACACCTGTAATCCCAGCATTTTGGGAGGCCAAGGTGGAAGAAATGCTTGAGCCCAGGCATTCAAGACCAGCCTGGGCAACATAACAAGACACCATCTCTATAAAAATGCAGAAATTATCCAGGAGTGGTGGTGTGCACCTGTAGTCCCAGCTACTTGAGAGGCTGAGGTGGGAGGATCACTTGAGCCTGGGAAGTTGAGGCTTCAGTGAGCTGAGATTGTGTCACTGCACCCCAGCCTGGGTGACAGAATGAGAACCTGTCTCAAAAAACAAAAATCATCAGTTGGACGCGTCCCTTTACCCAGTGTTCCCCTCCAGCTGCCATCCCACTTCTCACTTCCTCATTCTCTGCCGCTAATGGTTATCTGTACTTGCTGTTTTATCTTCGCCATCTCTTATTTTCTCTTCAGCTCATTCCGATAGAGCTTTTGTTCTATATCACTATGGTGGTTAATTTTATTTGTCAACTTGACTGGGTTAAAGGATGCCTGGATAGCTGGTAAAACATTATTTCTGGGTATGTGTGCGAGTGTGTTTCCAGAAGAGATTAGCATTTTTTTCTTTGTTTTTGAGACAGAGTCTCACTCTGTCACCCAGGCTGGAGTGCAGTGGTGCAGTCTTGGCTCATTGCAACCTCTCCCTCCCAGGTTCAAGCCATACTCCTGCTTTAGCTTCCTGAGTAGCTGGGACTACAGGTGTGAGCCACGATGCCTAGCTAATTTTTGTATGAGATTAGCATTTGAATTGACAGACTGGGTTAAGAATATCACCCATATCAAAGTGGGTATCAACAATTCCTTCAAGGGCCCAAATAGAACAAAAAAATAGAGGAAGGGCAAATTCGCTCTCTCTGCTTGAGCTGGAGCATCTATCTTCTCCTGCTCTTGGACCTCAGCATTCCTCATTCTGAAGCCTTTGGACTTGGACCCAACTTATACCATCAGCTGTCCTGGTTCTGAAGTCTTTGGGTTTGAACTGGAATTACATCATTAGTTTTACTGAGTCTCCAGCTTGCAGACAGCAGATGGTGGGACTTCTCAACCTCCACAATTGTATGAGCCAGTCCCTCACAAGAAATCTCTTCATATTTATATATATATACTGTTGGTTCCCTTTCTCTGGAGAACCCTGAGTAATACAGTCACTCTATTGAGATAGCTCTATTCAAGGACACCAGTTGTCTATATTTTGCCTAGGAGAGTGTTCAGCTCTGTATCCTCACCATATACTGTCTTTTGGTATTTGGTGCAATTAACTTATTTATTTTTTATAAGCCAATTTATCTATTTATTTATTTAGAGACAGAATTTCACTCTTGTTGCCCAGGTTGGAGTGCATTGACACAATCTCAGCTCACTGCAACCTCTGCCTCCCGGGTTCAAGCAATTCTCCCACCTCAGCCTCCCAAGGAGTTGGGGTTACAGGTGCCTGTCACCACACCTGCATAATTTTTGTGTTTTTAGTAGAGACAGGGTTTCACCATGTTGGTCAGGCTGGTCTTGAACTCCTGACTTCAGGTGATCCACCCACCTTGGCCTCCCAAAGTGCTGGGATGACATGCATGAGCCACTGTGCCCAGCTGCTATTATCGTCAAAATATATCACTCTCTAGGATCCTGACACCACACTTGCCCTGTTTCCCCTTTTATTTTGCTAGATGCTCTTTTCCAGTCTCCCTTGCTTGTTCTTCCTCTCTACCATCTCATAACAGTGCTGTATTTTAGGGTTGCATCCTCTGCTGCTGCTGTTTATATGTCTGTTCTCTTTGCACAGTTTATCCTGCTCCATGCTTTTAAAATCTGTCTATAGTTACTACTCATTATTTGCAGATTCTGTATTTATGAATTTGCTTACTTGTTAAATTAATTTGTAATCCCCAAATCAATATTTACACTGCTTCTGTGGTCATTCACGGACATGCACAATTAGTGAAAATGTGTTTCCCAATGTTCCCTGTCTCAGCTGAGGGCGAATAAGGTGATGCTCTACCTTTTTGTTTTAGCTCTCATCATGAAGCAGTCTATTTGGTGCTACTTTTTTTTATTTTTTTTGTATTTTTGTGTCTTTTATTTGTGATTTTGCTGTTTATAGTGGCCCCCCAAGTATAGGCTGAAGTGTTGTCTAGTGTTCCTAAGTGCAAGAATGTCATGTGCCTTATGCAGAAAATACATTTATGAGACAAGCTTCATTCAGGCATGAGTTAGTGCCCTTGGCTATGAGTTCGATGGTAATGTATAAAAGATATATATTAAATAAAGTTTATTTAAACAGAAACATACATAAAACAAGATTATATATTGATCAGTTGATGAAAATGTGACTATTTACAACTATTTGCAGGAACCTAACTCTGTATTTTCCCTAGGAACAATTGTTCAGTATTTGGTAACTCATTGTTCATGGTGACTTTATAGAACAGAATTACTGTGAATAAGAATCAACTACGTGTATTATTGGATCTAAGTTATATGTTTGAACTCCATACTCATATATTCAACCACTTATCCACTCCATGTTTGGATGTTTAATAGGCATTTTAAACTTAACATGTCCCAAGCAGAGCTCATGTTCCCTTCCAAAATCTTTTCAATCTCAATACATTGTACAAGTCATTTATCCCATCATCCTTTATTTTTATTACACGTGACTGACATAAGGACTGATAGTCTATCAGCAAGTCCTGTCAATTCTAGTTTCCATACATATCTTAAATCCAAGTGTTGATCACTGTCTTGCACATAGCCCCAGTCCAAACTGCATCTCTTACCTAGGCTACTGCAATTGCTTGCTAACTGATCTCCTGCCTCCATTCTACTCTTCTGCCCTTGTAGATCCTCTGCGTAGAAGCCAGAGTGAGCTTTCAAAAGCACCAATTAGACCATGCGACTCCATTGCAACCAGAATAAAGTTCAAACTCCAAACAATGGTCCTCTATCATCTGGCACCTGACTATTCTCTGACATCATCTCTCCATGCTTTGTTTTCTGTGTTCCCGCCTCATCAGTCCTTGTCCTATACCTTAAGAATACCAAGCTTGCACCTTTCTCAGGACCTTTCTGTTTACTGCTGTTACTCCTCCCTCAATTTTCATGATTGCTTTTTTAAATATCACTCAGGTCTTTCCAAAGTGGCTGCTTTCTGAGCAGCTCTCCTATTCATTGTCTTTAATATTGCCCTTTTTATTTGCATACTTGTTGCCTGTCTTCCCCAGGTAGAATGAATTTTTTTTTAAGTCAGGAAACTTTATCTTTTTTTTTTTTTTTTTTTGAGATGGAGTTTTGCTCTCATTGTCCAGGCTGGAGTGTAGTGACACAATCTCAGCTCACTGCAACCTCCACCTCCTGGGTTCAGTGGTTCTCCTGCCTCAGTCTCCCAAGTAGCTGGGATTATAGGCATGTGCCACCATGCCTGGCTAATTTTTTGTAATTGGTAGAGATGGGGTTTCACCATGTTGTTCAGGCTGATCTCGAACTCCTGACCTTAGGTGATCCACGTACCTCAGCCTTCCAAAGTGCTGGGATTACAGGCATGAACCATTGTGCCTGGGCTAGGAACTTTATGTTTTTCATTGTGAAATGCTTTGTATCTTTAGATACTTTTTTTTTTGGAGATGAAGTCTCACTCTGTCACCCAGGCTGGAGTGCAGTGGCTCTATCTCGACTCACTGCAACCTTCACCTCCCTGGTTTAAGCGATTCCTGTGCCTCAGCCTCCCTAGTAGCTGGGATTACAGGTGCCTGTCACCATGCCCAGCTAATTTTTGTATTTTTAGTAGAGATGAGTTTTCACCATGTTAGCCAGGCTGCTCTCAAACTCCTACCCTCAAGTGATCTACCCACCTCAGCTTCCCAAAGTGCTGGGATTGAATACGTGGGCTATTATGTCTAGCCAGGATCCTTAGTATCTTTAGATATTATTTTGATAATATTCTTATACATCTGTTTCAATAAATAGTTATTTACTTGACTCTTCATTAACTGGGGACTCTGATAAAGTATTGTACATGGTTGACTGGTAGAAAATAAATTAGATTCCAATGAAGAGAAAAAGAAAGAGAAAAGAAAGAATTAAGTAATTTGTTTAAAAAACCCTAAAGCAAACAGAAACCCCTAATACCATCTCAACATATATACAGTTATTGTTTGGTGCTGTAGTAATGTTTCAATAAGTAAATTTTAACTAGGTAATATGAACATTAAAATTTAATAACTCTTTGACTTGTGCCTGGTATAATTTGCCATTTGAGTTGTAAGGATGCTAATTTTATCTACCTGTTTTCATCAGGAATAATTATTTGATAATATATAGCCTGTTTTCTTATAATTTATATTTATTGTTGCTCTGTTAGGAAGAAGCAGCATGTGGGCCATTTCAAAGTACAAACATAGTTTAGAGTCCTTAAAAATGGTGTTATCCTTCATCTCCCAAAGGCCCTACCCCTAATGCCATCACTTAGAGGTTAGGATTTCAACATGTGAATTTGAGAGGGACACATTCAGACCATAGTAACAGGTCCAGGTATATGTTCAGAAACTCATCCTGAGCTAACAGTGCTATCACCTTATTGAGATCCACGTTCTCACCAAGAAATTAAAAGCAGACACTCCTAAAAAAAAAAAAAAAAAATGGTGTTATCCTCATAGATTTATGTGACCACATGATTGTCAGCTCACATCTTTTGGAGCTTACTCTAGGCATTTATAAAGCAAATTATTTTACATATTAGACTTAAAAATAGTAGAATGGGTAAGATAATCTCTAAGTATTAAATTCATGATCTGTAGGATAACCAGGTTGTCAGCAAGCAGAATGGAGAGAGTTCAGATGTATAGAATCTTAAGTTGGAGGGAATTTTACTCCTGTGAACCATAGTACAATGAATAAATTAAGTGTAATCTGGAAAGAACTGAATAACAAGACAGACAGACGTTTGATGGTGTTGGTGATGTCCTGATATTCTTTAATCATATATCTCATGTTCTTGTACTCTGTATTCCCTTCAGGCTGGCCCTCACTGCCATGAATAAATTTGAAGAAGCAGTTACAAGTTATCAAAAGGCATTAGATCTTGACCCTGAAAATGATTCCTATAAGTCAAATCTGAAAATAGCAGAACAGAAGTTAAGAGAGGTATCTAGTCCTGTAAGTTGTTCATGCCAAATGAGTGAAGTATTTTCTGTCATTGACAACTTACTGTAATTAAATTGTAGTCGTTGGACTGATTCTCAGATATAATTGTTTTACAGACAGGAACGGGGCTGAGTTTTGACATGGCTAGCTTGATAAATAATCCAGCCTTCATTAGTATGGTGAGTATACTTTCTTTTCTGCTTCTACTGGCTCTGTTTTCCATACAGCTATGTAGCTATGCAATTTTTTTAGAAACAAGTAAGTGAGCTTTTGTGGTGGTGGTTGTAGTGGAATGTTGATATAAGCTGTAGCAGGGTTTTTTTTTTTTTAAATTCCAACTTTTAAGTTCTGGGGTACATGTGCAGGACATGCAGGTTTGTTACATAGGTAAAAGTGTGCCACGGTGGTTTCCTGCACAGATCTTCCCATCACCGAGGTATTAAGCCCAGCATCCATTAGCTATTGTTCCATATCCTTTCTCTCCTCCTATCCCCCACCCTCCAACAGGCCCCAGTGTTTGTTGTTCCCCAATATGTGTCAACGTGTTCTCATCATTTGGCTCCCACTTATAAATGAGAACACGTGTTATTTGGTTTTCTTTTCCTGCATTAGTTTGTTAAGTAAAATGGTAAAATGGCCTCCAGCTCCATCCATGTTCCTGTGAGGGACATAATCTTGTGTTTTATGGCTGAATAGTATTCCATGGTGTATATGTACTGCATTTTCTTAATCCGATCTATCATCGATGGGCTTTTGGGTTGATTCCATGTCTTTGCTATTATGAATAGTGCTGCAATGAACATACGTATGCATGTGTATTTACAGTAGAATGATTTATATTCCTTTGGGTATATACCCAGTAATAGGATTGCTAGATCGAACAGTATTTCTGCTTCTAGGTCTTTGAGAAATCACTACACTGTCTTCCACAATTTAGATTCCCACCAACAGTGTTAAAGTGTTCCTTTTTCTCCACAACTTTGCCAGCATCTGTTTTGTTATTGTTGTTGTTTGTTTGTTTTGAGACAGAGTTTCACTCTTGTAACCCAGGCTGGAGTGCAATGGTGCAATCTCAGCTCACTACAACTTCTGCCTCCTGGGTTCAAGAGAATCTCCTGCCTCAGCCTCCTGAGTAGCTGGGACAATAGGTACCCATAACCATGCCTGGCTAATTCTTGTATTTTTTTGTTTGTTTGTTTTTGTTTTTGTTTTTTTGAGACGGAGTTTCGCTCTTGTTGCCCAGGCTGGAGTGCAATGGCGCGATCTCGGCTCACCACAACCTCCGCCTCCTGGGTTCAGGCAATTCTCCTGCCTCAGCCTCCTGAGTAGCTGGGATTACAGGCACACGCCACCATGCCCAGCTGATTTTTAGTATTTTTAGTAGAGACGGGGTTTCACCATGTTGACCAGGATGGTCTCGATCTCTTGACCTCGCGATCCACCCGCCTCGGCCTCCCAAAGTGCTGGGATTACAGGCTTGAGCCACCGCGCCCGGCTAATTCTTGTATTTTTATTAGGGATGGGGTTTCATCGTGTTGGCCAGGCTGGTCGTGAACTCCTGACCTCTGGTGATCTGCCTGCCTTGGCCTCTTAAAGTGCTGGGATTATAGGTGTGAGCCACCACACCTGGCCCGTTCTTTGAGTTTTTAATAATAGTCATTCTGACTGGTGTGAATGGTATCTCATTGTGGTTTTGATTTGCACTTCTCTAATGATCAGTGACGTTGAGCTGTTTTTTTCATATGTTTGTTGGCCACGTATACATCTTCTTTCGAGAAGTGTCTGTTCATTTCCTTTGCCCACTTTATAATGGGGTTGTTTGTTTTCTTGTAAATTTGTTTAAGTTCTTTATAGATGCAGGATATTAGACCTTCGTCAGATGGATAGATTGCAAAAATGTTCTTCCATTCTGTAGGTCAGGTGTCCCCAAACTTTTTATACAGGGGGCCAGTTCACTGTCCCTCAGACCGTTGGAGGGCTGCCACATACTGTGCTCCTCTCACTGACCACCAATGAAAGAGGTGCCCCTTCCTGAAGTGCGGCGGGGGGGCTGGATAAATGGCCTCAGGGGGCCGCATACTGGCCATAGTTTGGGGACGCCTGCTGTAGGTTGTCTGTTTACTCTGTTGATAGTTTCTTTTGGTGTGGAAAAGAAACTCTTTATTTAATTAGATCCCATCTGTCAATTTTTTCTTTTGTTGAAATTGTTTTTGGCATCTCCATCATGAAATCTTTGCCTGTGCTATGTCTTGAATGGTATTGCCTAGGTTTTCTTTTAGGGTTTTTATAGTTTTGAGTTATACATTTAAGTCTTTAATCTACCTTGCACTGATTTTTGTATATATATGGTATAACAAAGGGGTCCAGTTTCAATTTTCTCCATATGACTAGCCAGTTCTCTCAGCACCATTTATTAAATAGGGAATCTTTTCCTTATTGCTTTTGTCAGGTTTGTCAAAGATCAGATGGTTGTGGGTGTGAGGTCTTATTTCTGTGTTCTCAGTTCTGTTCCACTGGTCTATGTGTCTGTTCTTGTAACAGTACCATGCTGTTTTGGTTATTGTAGCCCTGTGGTATAGTTTGAAATTGAGTAGCATGATGCCTCAGCTTTGTTCTTTTCATTTAGGATTGCCTTGGCTATTAGGGCTCTTTTTTGGTTCCATATGAATTTCTTTTCTTTTCTTTTCTTTTTTTTTTGAGACAGAGTCTTGCTCTGTTGCCAGGTGCCAGGCTGGAATGCAATGGTGCAATCTTGGCTCACTGCAACCTCTGCCTCCTGGGTTCAAGCAATTCTCTTGCCTCAGCTTCCCGAGTAGCTGGGGCTACAGACATGTGCCACCACGCCCAGCTACTTTTTATATTTTAGTAGAGACGGGGTTTCACTTTGTTGGCCAGGATGGTCTCGATCTCTTGACCTCATGATCTGCCTGCTTTGGCCTCCCAAAGTGTTGGGATTACAGGCGTGAGCCACCGCGCCCGGCTCCATATGAATTTTAAAATTGTTTTTTTTTTCTAATTCTGTGAAGAATGTCAATGGTAGTTTAATGAGAATAGCATTTAATATATAAATTGCTTGGGGCAATATGGTCATTTTCATGATATTGATTCCTCCCATCCATGAGCATATAATGTTTTTCGATTTGTGTCATCTCTGATTTCTTTAAGAAATGGTTTGTAGTTCTTCTTGAAGAGTTTCTTCGCTTTGCCTGTTAGTTGTATTCCTAGGTATTTTATTCTTGTGGCAATTGTGACTGGGAGCTCGTTTGTGATTTGATTCTCAACTTGCCCATTGTTGGTATGTAGGAATGCTAGTGATTTTTGCTCATTGATTTTTGTATGCTTTTTGTATGCTGAGACTGTACTGAAGTTGCTTATCACCTTAAGAAACTTCTGGACTGAGACAGTGGGGTTTTCTAGATACAGGATCATGTCATCTGTAAACAGGGGTAGTTTGACTTCCTCTCTTCCTAACTGAATACCCTTTATTTCTTTCTCTTGCCTGATTTCCCTGGCCAAAACTTCCAATACTATTAATATGTTGAATAGGAGTGGTGAAAGAGGACTTTTTCATCTTGTGCTGGTTTTCAAGGGGGAATACGTTGAGCTTTTGCCCATTCAGTGTGATATTGGCTGTGGGTTTGTCATATATGGCTGTTATTATTTTAAGGTCTGTTCCTTCAATATCTAGTTTATTGAGAGTTTTTTACATGAAGGGATGTTGAATTTTTTCAAAGACCTTTTCTGCATCTATTGAGATAATCATGGGGTTTTTGTCTTTAGTTCTGTTTATGAGATGAATCACATTTATTAATTTGCTTATGTAGACACAGCCTTGCATCTTGGGAATGAAGCCTCCTTGCTGGTGAATTTTAAGCTTTTTGATGTGCTACTGGATTTGTTTTGCCAATATTTTGCTGAGGATTTTTCCATCAATGTTCATCAAGGATATTGGCCTGAAGTTTTCTTTTTCTTGTTGTTCTTTGTCACGTTTTGGTACTGGGATGATGTTGGCTTCACAGAATGAGTTGGGGATGAGTTCATCCTTTTCAGTTTTTTAGAATAATTTCTGTAGGAATGGTACCAGCTCTTCTTTGTACCTCTGGTAGAATTCAGCTGTGAATTCATCTGGTCCTGGGCTTTTGTTTTGGTTGGTAGGCTATTTATTACTGCCTCAATTTCAGAACTCATTATTGGCCTATTCAGGGATTTATTTTCTTCCTGGTTCATCCTTGGGAGGGTATATGTGTCCAGGAATTTATCCATTTCTTCCAGAAATTGATTAGTGAAATTTCTAGTTTATGTGCATAGGATTGTTTATAGTATTCTCTGATGGTTGTTTGTATTTCTGTTGGGTCGATGGTAATATCCCCCATATCACTTCTGATTGCGTTTGTTTGAATCTTCTCTTTTCCTCTTCAATAGTATAACTAGTGGTCTATCTAGTTTATTAATTTTTTTCAGAAAACCAGCTCCTGGATTCATTGTTTTTTGTTTGTTTGCTTTTTTTGATGGTTTTTTTTGTGTCTCTGTCTCCTTCAGTTAAGCTCTGATCTTGGTTATTTCTTGTCTTCTGCTAGCTTTGTGGTTTGTTTGCTCTTGTTTTTCTAGTTCTTTTAGTTGAGATGTTAGGTTGTCAATGTGAGATCTTTATAGCTTTTTGATGTGGGTATTTAGTGCTCTAAATTTCTTTCTTAACACTGTTTTAGCTGTGTCTGAGATTCTGGTATGTTTTATCTTTGTTCTCATTAGTTTCAAAGAACTTCCTGATTTCTGCCTTAATTTCATCATTTACCCAAAAGTCATTCAGGAGCAGGTTGTTCAGTTTCCATGTAGTTGTGTGTTTTTGAGTGAATTGAGTGTCGCGTGGTGATGAGAAGAATATTCTGTTGTTTTGGGTGGAGGGTTCTGTAGATATCAGGTCTACTTGATCCAGAGCTGAGTTCGGGTTCTGAATATCTTTATTCGTTTTCTGTCTTGATGATCTATCTAATATTGTCAGTAGAGTTTTAAAGTCTCCCACTATTATTGTGTGGGAGTCTAGTTTCTTCGAAGCTCTGTAAGTACTTGCTTTATGAATCTGGGTGCTCCTGTATTGGGTGCATATATATTTAAGATAGTTAGCTATTCTTGTTGAATTGAACCTTTTACCATTATGTAATACCCTTCTTTGTCTTTTTTT